ATTAATTAATAATCGATAAAATTGTGAGTTGAACAAATGTGATGAATGAATTGATTTGAAAATTTTTGGTAATAATGTGTTAGTGATGTTATTGTGGTTGCAAATGACTTTGTTTGAATATATGTTTTAGATTATGAATTAATTTACTTTTATGTGTATACATATGATAAGTGCTATGTGATGGTATAAGTTACATAATGATTAAGAAAAATGGTGAATTTGATGTGATGAAACCGAGATGCTATAATTGTTTGATCTGTGAAATATTATTGGTAAATATAATTGTTCTGGCCTGGGCCCCGGCTTGACCGGGCAGACCCAGCCCAATGATATTCTGCCAAGCCCAATCCAGGTTGGGCCACAGCCGTCGAGCACAGAGTCCCCGTCGGGCAGGCAATGCCCCTCCGCGGGCAGATCCTTCTCTGCCCTATTGGGCAAAACCTTCCTCATTTATGTCGGGCACTAGGCTTCCCGTTGACCAGACACTGCCCTCCGCAGGCAGGACCTTCTCCCTCCGTGGGCAGAACAATGTGTCCTCCACACGTTCTCCACGTGCTCCGCTCCGCGGGAACACGTCACCAACCAACTGTCCACCTCCGAAAGAGCAGGTCAAACCCACTTTCCGGAGATCACAGGACAGTTGAACTAGGGCGAAGACCACGTCCTGGTCTTCACTACGCCATGTAAGCCCTAACAATCACTTGGGTTGGGCCTAGCCATCCAGCCCAGCTCAAATGATCGTTGGCCCTGCACTGGGGTCTCTCTATAAATACCCTCTTTCACAAGAGGGTCAGGTATTCTCTTCTTACCCCCTTTTCTGTACTTGTGATCACTCTGCTCAATTACTTACATTGGCATCGGAGTGTCTTGCAGGTACACCCCCCACCTCTTCTTCAACACCGGTGAGCAGGCAGTAAGTCAAAGACGCGTGGCAGTCAGTGATCCCCTTCTGATCAGGTCAAATCAATAATTATTTGTGAAAATGTTATGATTGTAATTGATATGTCATAATAATAATTATTTTTGTGTCGATGGATTTAGATGAATCGATGAACCACTAGTAAGAAAATAACTTTTTAGCAGAGGTTTTTAAGTCAGTTCACTTGCCACCTGACTTAAGAAATGACACGGTGGCAATTTCGTAAATATTGGCAACTTAGTTAAGTCGGGTGCATTTAAAGCCGACCTAAAAAAGATTAAAAAAATATATAATTTATATTAAATTTCTTAAATCACATGTATGTGTTTATTAATTGACTTAAAAAATTTAGTTTTTAAGTCAGGTGTCAGCCACCTGACCTAAGAAGTTTTATATACTCCTAACATAGTGCATATTTGATTCAAACTTGGAACAAGTTAGTGAAACAAAACAATAATACTAACAAATCTTCTCTTCCTCTTCGTTTCCAGATTTAGGTTTCGTGCTGGCTAGTTACAGCTCAGCAGCTCGCGGAAATAACAATGACTCGGTTTTCGAGCATTGGTTTGATTATGGGTGGTACATTGTTACCATTCAACATGGTGAGTGATTCTGTTATGCGATACCATACTGCAGCAGCAACTCGAAGGAATGGAATTCTTTGACTAATGATCCTTATATGGTGGTAATCGATGTACAAAATAACTCTGAAACCAGAATATGAAAGCTTACAATAGTTGTTGGTCCCTGCACGACATTATTTCGCGGAGTTGTTCGTGTCGACACTACGGTAAAATTTTGAAACTCTCTGCGTAAGCATCTGTAATGAATATCACTTGGTTGGTTTTGTTTTGTTGAGAATCAATTACTTTAAACTTTTCACAATCTGTTTGTTTGCTAGTTAAATTTGTGTTAAACTCATAATCAATATGGTTCAATATGAACTTTCTTTTCTTCTAAAATAATGTTGCATGATACTAGAATCTCACATTATTTGTGTTGTTTTGGTTGTGTGAAATTTTTGATAGACTGTGTAATGTTGTTGCTGCTAGTTCAATGAGAGCGATCATGGCAGAACGTCGATCCATGTTTGGAGGAAGAGAACATTCCAGAAGGTTGATGAGATTGAGAGAACCAGAGATGGGAAGTGATTTAGTGTAGACATCAGTTTCTGTGGTATTTGAGTATTTCATGAATCATGATCAAGATGGTTATGTGGAGATGGTTATCACGGTTGATTAGAAGCTTCGTGAACTCGAGAGTGGAAACTAAATGACCAACACCGAGAGAAGGGATAAAAACCACCTGTGCTTTCTTCATCTCGGCAGATCACGGGTTATAAACTTGTGACTTTGTTCATTTTATGCTAGTATATATGAACGGGAAACGGAAATCCTAGTTAAATGGATTGAGGATTAATGCAATTAAAATTTTGGTAATTGAAAATAGTGAGCGCATTGTAGAGAGTGGTTGTCTATGTTTATGCAGGTAGTTTAAGGGCTGAAGTTGTTACTTAAGTTCAAACGAACCAGTGTTATGGAGAAGCTGGTTTTAGGCGGTTTTGATGAATGCTAGCATGGAGGAGTCTCGTACAACAGGTTGAAACTGCATACTGGATTGTGGCTCTCACAACAAACAAATGGAAACATAACTAATTGAGAGTGATAAAGCTTGACAAAGAAAACCCGCTCGGAGTTGTCATTGAGGTTTACGTGCATGAAGAAGGTAGTACGGTTTGAATTCCTTTCTACATTAAGATTGCTCAAAAGCACATTCTAAACCTGAATGATAATTCAAATCCCTTTGTTGAAATGCAGGTTGAGTGGACATGCTGCTGCAATTCCGTCTTTCATGCTTCTTTCTATCTCGGTTTGGTTTGTGAAGAAGCTCTCGGTTGTAGGTTTTTTCATGGCATATCACCAACTTCAGTAAGTTTGTATGAAGAATTAGAAAGTGATGACACTTATGCTAAATAATTTTGTTGATTCTATGACAGCAAAGAAGAACTTGCCAGACTGTTAGTTCCTCTTGCGACATCAATGACGACGTCCAAGTGTTCTAAAAACCTCGAATAAAGTTCACGGATTCGGCATAGCCTTGGAATTGCTTTGGCGAGAAGATTGGTGTTGGAATCAATTCTGAGTTGCTATTTCAGCAACTCTGGTATGTTATTTCCTGGCAATTATTGTGTAATTCTTGTGTCGAGTTTTCTCGCCACCAACGGCCTCCCGTTTTTAAATGGATTATGAGTCTTTGACATGGTTTTTATCACTGCAGTTTGTGTATTTGAAACTCATCGCTCCAACCGTCTCCGAAGTAAACAACATTGTGCAACAACTGTGGGAGTTTGACAGTTCGACAGTTTGTAGGTCATGGTGAAGCTGTATTAAGTGTTGCCTTTAGTCCTGATGGGCGGCAGCTAGAAAGTGGTTCTGGAGATACCACTGTTCGATGTTGGGACCTTGGCACTCAGACACCAATGTACACATGCACATGTGTGGTATTTAAAAATGATAAGCCATTCTTTGTGTGTGCCAAACATAATTTATTTATTTTAATTAAAGCAAGAAACAGTCATATTAGGTCTACCAGTCATAATTTTATTTATTTATTTTAATTTAAATTGTCCTATAGCATAAAGGAGTTTGAACAAATCACTAATTAGTACGAAATTTTGACCAATAGCGGTGCTATAGCACGGTTGCACCATTGCAGGATTTGACTGCATCCGACAATACTTGTTATCGAAGACGAGTTACTGCTATCGTATGGTTGTACTATTATGAACATGCATTTTCCTTGAACACGTGTGCACGCGTGATAAAATTGATATATTTCTTTTTCCTTTTTTCTTTCTAGTCTTATTATGGTGGATTTGGATTAGTTCCCGGTGCAGAATCTCACGGCGAGTTCAAACGATCTCTTATATCATAATATAGACATGATTTTATATTGTAAGAAAGGTTGTTGCAATGTTATACATTACATCTTTTCAATGTTTTAAAAATCGAATAGGATATCGTACTAGCAATACATTTGGGTCATGGTTCAATTGCTCAAATAAACGAACCATAGACAGTCCCGGTTAGTGGTTCGACTAGTTGAACCGTTTATTTTAGTCCAGATTTTAAAAATTGCATCAACTATCATAATATTTTGCATGAATTTTCTACTTTTTCTTGATGCATTTCTATGATGTCTTGGTTGATAGTAGGAGATTAAAATGTAGGAGTTTCTGTTCTGTACGCGCACACATCTTGAAAGGAAATTTTCATTCGATTTTATTTAAATGCTCATTTTTGCTCATATTTATCAACATTACTTGTTTTAGTGTCACAGGTGGTGTAACTTATTGTGCTATTGCGTCTCTCCGGTTAATGGGTTTATCAAAGACAATGTTCTCTCAAGTTGTAATTTGTCTTCTTTGATAGATTTGCCATTGCTGTTGAACTGGATCTTGCAGGTGTGTATACCAACTCTTTTAACATAAGCTGAATCAATTGTAGCACATCCTCTTCTTTTCAGTTATTAGTTTTATTTATGAAGCACAAACACAACATTGACACATCGACACCAGTAATAATTTGAAAAAATGAATAAATTGATCGTAATCACAAGTGTCGGTGTAATCACAAGTATAGCACGGACAATGCCACCGAAGCTTTCATCATATACCAATAAAGCGTATTCAATCAGTTTCTTTCAAAGAAATTATTTGTTTTTTTTGTATAATATCCATGACTATTTATTATCTCATTTCACCTATTTATTTCCCTACCATAACGAGTTAAAGGGTAATACTTATTGATTGTGGATGGCGAACCATGGCAACAGAGCCAAAATCTACCACTACAATCGGCCACGGATTCCATGACCGATATTTGACAAAACTGACTTTAGTACATGAATGAATTCTCTTTTCTGCTGATCAAGATTCATTTACTCTGTCTTCCTTTTCAGAGACAGGGAACTGATGGTGGATTTCAAGGTAGACCTAATAAATCTAGCGATACATGTTACGCATTTTGGTAAGAATAATATCAAGCCTTACTCAACTTTTATGTTTGGCACTCAGACACCAATGTACACATGCACAGGTGTGGTATTTCAAATTGATGCTTAATACTGCTGGAGTATGCTATGGGAAAGGGATGGGAAGTAGTGGAACGAAACAAGGAGCAGGAAATGTGATATTCACTCTGTTGAGTTTAGAGCATAATTGTATGTTGAGCTGGCTAGGAAAATGGGAGGTGTAAATTAGGTTAGGGGAAGGCTTATAAATTTAAAAGTATGAACATAATCAATTTCCGAGCAATGATTTGTGATAAGAAGGGATGTTGCAACTTGCAAGTCTCTTCAATGTACTGCAGTTTTTTGTTTGAGTTGATTTGAAGAATTACAGAGGTCTACCTCTTCTATATGAAGCCATTATTCCTTACATAGTTTTGTAGGAGGCTGCTTATTAGCAATGTATATGTTAGAAGAGTTTTCATTCTCTTTTTTCAGTGTCGGTTGATTCACATCATATTTGTTAACGCACACTTTTGTATCTTTTATTAGAATGTCATATATAGTTGCTTACATTTTATACAGGACACAAGAACTGGGTCCTTTGTATTGGATGGTCACCCGATGGCAAGTATCTTGTAAGTGGGAGCAAGTCAGGAGAACTTATATGTTGGGACCCACAAACCGGAAAGCAATCAGGAAATGCTTTAACTATAAGTCTTTAACTTTGAATTCCAATTTGCATTATGAAGTCGTCTCCTTTTTCTCTTCATAATTTTTTCATCTAAAGTGCACATTGGTAGTGTTGCAGTGGAAATAGGATATCAAACTATTAATTAGTTTGAATCACAATTCTTGATTCACAACCGCTCTTTGATTTATCCGAAGGAAAAGGTCAAAAGAGGAAAAACCTAATTTTGCATCGTAAACACAATGCGGGGAGAGACCTAGGTAAGGGGTTGGTTAAGCTTAGGGAAGGTACTAGCACCCTAAACTTCTGTAGTACTCTACATGAACCTTTTGTTTATTGTATGCTTTTTTATTTTATTATCTATTTGAAATATATTGCTAAGGGATAGAGTAACCTAAAGACCTAAGGGTTAGTCCTAAATTTACTCGGCAAGACGTCGCATCTTGTGCCTACGTATCCTGGATAGGGAATGGAATCAGAGTAATCGTAGTTCCCCTCGAAAGGGAGGTTAGAAACGTCTTGACTATGGTCAAGGTTTCAATGGGGAATAAACGTATCTTAAGGACACGCTTACATGGAGTCTTTGAAACTCCTATTTCTATGTTGAATTTGTTAATTGAAAATTTAGGGTTGAAATTAGGGATTCCACGGCGGGAAACCCTAAACAGAGTACGGCGACTCTTTGACCTAATGCTAGGGTAAAGGGCATTTTTGTCCACGGCGGGACGCCTAGGCTAAATAGGGTTTTGAAATGTTCAAAGGGTAAGACTATTGACTCGGCGGTCAAACGGCTAGACCTAATCCTTCAGAAGGAGGAAATTAACGGTAAGAACGTGCAAAATGGCAAATAACTATACGACACAAATAAAGTACGGAAAATAATGAAAGCAGTAAAGAAAGCATCGCGATGATCACTCGCATAAATTACAAATCCCCAAAATGCAAAAAATAAAAATAACCGCGATCATGGCCTCGCATAAATTACATCCATGAAAAATGCAAAAATAAATGACGAAATATAATGCGACGATAGACTCGCATAAATTACAACCATAAAAGGAAACGAAAAAAACTGTTACAAACTGTACAATTTGGAAATAATGAATGGAACGAGATTAATAGTTAAATGAGAATGAACGGGCAAGGTCAATTCGAAACTGAAAAGCGAAATGTTAGGCAATTTTTTAGAAAAGGTTTTAAGACTAACTGCGACATTAAAATATTAATCCTTATTTTAGAAGATTTAGGGTTAATTTACAAAAACGGGTTTAATTTACAAAAGGAGCTTAATTTTTAAGTTACGTTATTTATTATGTTAAGTTAATTTACACTTTGTTAGCATTAAATTTTAAATTATAATAAAAAAATTAATCTTTTAATTACATAAATTTAATTCCCAATTAAGGTTAAATTTTAAGTTTGGAAATTAAGTTTTTAAGAGGTTTTAAATTACTAAGTAAAAAAAGGGTGTTAACGTTAAAAAATTTTAAATCTCAATTTTAAATTTGTAAAAATAAGGGTTACGTTTAAGTTTTAAAATAAGTTTAAATTGAAGTTTTAGAAAATGTTTTTTAGACAAAATTTTAATTTATTTTTGTTTAATTTACAAGTTGGTTTTAATTTTAGGTAAAAAGTGATGATGAATTAAGCCTCTAAAAAAATGGTTTTCCTTAAGTTTTTTTTGTTTTACATTAAATCTTAACATTGAATTATTAAAAATATCTTAGATAAGTTTTAGAAAGGTTCTCTTTAAAAAAAAATTAAGTTTTAAAAATGGATTTAATTTGAAGTTATAAAAAAATGTTCTAAAATGATTTTTATCAAGTTTAAAAAATGTTTTAAAAGTTTTAAATTAGTTTTTTATTTAATTAAGTTATTTATTATTGAAAGAAAAAACAAAGATTAATGAAATGAGGAGATTGGCACCTGATGTAGTCACCTTCATTATTACGTGGGCTCAGTTCCTGGTCCTTGATGCGGTACCGCCGGTGTTACCACAATGTTAATAATAACATAGTAGCAAACTTTTGAATGGTGTAATAATAACAACCATACTATATCAAAATAAATTAAACCAGAGAGCTTAATATGTAAATGGCAAACAACATAGTAATAATTGAAATAAGTACAGCTGCATCGTAATTGAACCAAAGTCAAGACAGAACTTACAGTACCCCGTAGCTGAATCAAAACCAGCAAAGAAATGTTTACACAGCCATCCGAAATGCGACAGAAAGTTTACCTCGGAGTTATTAGCATTGTCGAATTAAATCCTGGATATTCAAAGCCGCGGTATGATGGACTTAGGATTCCCCTCACTTATGTTTATGTAGGTAACAAATTAGGGTTAACTCTAACCTAATGCCCACTTTAAAGCCCAACTTAAATAATTAGTCAAAGCTAAAAAAAACAAACTAAAACAAACTAGAAGGTGGGATTCGAACTCTCGACCTCTCACACTCACAACTCCTTACACACGGTCTCTTGCCAATTGTGCCATTTTATTCATTCAAAATAAAGTGGCACTAGAAACCATGTAAAGGTAGAACAAATTTGGGGTGCAACAGATGCCCCTATTTAAATAGCTTCACCGGATGATTTGAGCAGCGGAGACTCGAGAAATCGCGGTGAAAGGGATTTAAATACAGATAACCGGAAATTTGGCCCCTAGATGTAGTGATATGCAATGATATGGACAAAATAACACGAACTATAATGCTGACAATTCCATGAATCTAATATGATGCGTATGATGGAATGATGAATGCAAGGATGCAGACAACACGACGTCATAGAGGACAACGCAGCGAAGAATTGCACTGGGGAAGAAGACACACGGTGGTGACAAGGTAACATAGGATCCACACGGAGACAGGACCAGGTAAACGACAGACGCTAGAGTTTTCGGGACATTCCTTGAAGAGATCGGGCGGGATCTTCAGGACTCACCGGAAAACATATAGGGAGAGACAAACATCAGAACATTTCGGAAGAACGTCGAAAAGGAGACATGTCGTATCTGGAAGAACGTTAGATAGACATGACACGAAATAGTCGATGGGTGCCAAGTAAACTGGACTTTGTCCACAAGGTAAGATGCGGATAAACCACGACCTCGGGGAGAAAAATGTAAATGGGGATAAAACACCCATGCTGCCAAGTAACTAAATTCGTCCACAAGGTAAGACGCGGATAAAACACGACCTCGGGGAGAAAAATGCAAATGGGGATAAAGCACCCATGATGCCAAGTAAATAAATTCGTCCACAAGGTAAGACGCGGGTAAAACACGACCTCGGGGAGAAAAAGCAAATGGGGATAAAACACCCATGATGCCAGGTAAATTGGACTTTGTCCACGAGGTAATACGCGGGTAAAACACGACCTCGGGAGAAGAAACAAATGGGTATAAAACACCTATGATGCCAGGTAAATTGGACTTCGTCCACGAGGTAATACGCGGGTAAAACACGACCTTGGGAGAAGAAGCAAATGGGGATAAAACACCCATGATGCCAGGTAAATTGGACTTCGTCCACGAGGTAATACGCGGGTAAAACACGACCTCGAGAGAAAAAGCAAATGGGGATAAAACACCCATGATGCCAAGTAAATAAATTCGTCCACAAGGTAAGACGCAGGTAAAACACGACCTCGGGAGAAGAAGCAAATGAGGATAAAACACCCATGATGCCAGGTAAATTGGACTTCGTCCACGAGGTAATACGCGGGTAAAACACGACGTCGGGAGAAGAAGCAAATGGGGATAAAACACCCATGATATGCACATGTGTATAAATCATGCTATGATAGATGATCAAATGACAATGCAGATGTTGACGACAAGGCTCGACTCTGTTGGTAAGATGACAAGACTGGAAAACTGATTCCTCAACCCGGAGATCACTGCCACTTGCTAAATTGTAATCAGGTTGATGGTCCTCGTAGGAAGGATGGAAAGCCGCTTGGAGATCTTTCAAGTAAACTGCCCCAGATTAAATTGTCCATTACAGATGAACTGATAATTGCTTCAGCTTGTCTGATTTTGAAAATGATTGTTTTACTGTACCCTCGAAAGGTTTGCCCCAGTCTGAGTCTTGAAAATCTCATGGATAAACCAGATCTGAGAAGACTTTGCCCCTGATAGGATCACTTGACCAAGTTTCTCGATTGTTTGAAATTTCCTTAGAGGAAAGCCAGTTTGCAAACAAAAATATTCATACAAACATGGTAATGCAAAGTTCATGCAACTTTTGAAATCAAAATTATTTTTGAAAGATGAAAAATAAATGAGTCATCGATTAGAACGCGGCGGTCCAGGACGCTCAAAGTTTAATACAGGTATACAGCCAAAATGAATGATTCACAAAGATCTTTAGGAGTCAGCTTACACAACCTTGTTGTAGCATGCTTTCAAAATATCCTTGTTTCAATTAGGTCTTTTGAAGGTTGTAACGTGGCCTGGTTCACGGTTTATGAAACAAAGGATAAAGGCTCAAAATTTGTTTGTTCCCACCCAATCTACGTGATAATCTTCAGTCCTACGCTCAGTTAACTCATTATGCATTTAGGTTCCTATAGGTTAGGAATTGCACTGATGATAGTAATGATGGTTCGAAAGTCAAGGGACTCTTGAGATGGCCGTCACTACTTTCCTATAACATTTGGTTGTTTTGACATTTAGGATTTTTAGGGTAAGGATTTAAAACTCCTCTCTGCATTATCCCTAAATTTTGCCTGATCTGTTTCTTGTGAAGATTACAGTCAGCGGGATGCCCCAGTTTTGCCTAAGTCTCCTTTATAGGTTTTGACTTAGCGGACTTTTTTTTTTTGAAAGAAAGTGACTGCCTAGCTTAATGATCACGGTGAACCATCATCGGCTTTTGACTTGGAAAACATCTTTGACACTTACTTGCTATGTACGAAGTAAAACTTGTGAATTCAACCTTTATATGAAAGGTGTATTGCAGGAAAGCACAACCGAGTTAACTGAGAACTACCCATCCCCAGGCTAAGATTGCAGGTTTTTTTGTA